CGCTTCCTATAAGGTAGAACTCAAGCTTTCCCTATCAATCCCGAGCCTTACAAGGAACCGCGCGAAGGGCGAAGCCCGGACTGACCCACCTCGGGTCAGTCCGGGCCACACTCCTATCCGAACTCAATACTTCACCTTGGGCACCACCCCGACACTTTGGCTCCAGGTTGCATGACTGAATAACCGTACCTGACAAAGAAGTCCGTACTCTGAGGCAACGCACCTGACTGATCAGGGATTTGACAAATGACAGCCGCCCTCCAACGGCCACCTGCTACCACCATCTCAGTTGTTGCAGAGACGACCTTGACAGAGAAGTTAGTGGCGGTTATGTCTGCCCCCCACAGAGGCAGTTACACCTGATCTGGCAAAGGCTTGGGAGTGAGTGCACCAGGGTGGTTATAAAAGGCCCTCTTCCCCTAGAGTAAAGGTAAGTGACACTTTGCACCTTCTGGTCTCAGAATCTGTCATCCTCTTTGCTTTCTCAAGAGTACTAACTTGAGCATCGGAGCATTCCCACCGGGTTCCTCCCTCGGGAATCTTTTGCTTCCTCCCTGTTTCAGGCATCTCCTACTCCGTCAGAGGCAAGGTTACCGGCAGCTAGGACCGACCGGATCGTGCATCATCAAAACCCAATTTACAAAACTGTCCAGCATACTCTCTTGCCAAATTCTCTTACACTGTGTTTGGTCCAAGATAGCCTTATTTCCTAGCCACCATTCTACCTCTTGCCTTGGTCCAAGGTAGCTACCCAAAACAGGGGTTGAGGGTGAGATAGGGGACGTAGACAAGCTTCTCAAGGCAATCATAGAACAAGCTTATTCTCCAAATGATATTTGATCATCCCTTCTCATTGCAGAATAGCTCGATTCTTTATCAAGTTGTTAGACTTTTTTCTTTTCTTTTTATTATTATCAAAGTGTTCAAGAAGTAGTGGTCGAAGGATAAAGTGGAGCAAGAAACACACTATAATTTTTATTATAACTCACATTGGTTTGACACCCAATGCAGTTTTCAAATTGTTTAATTAAAGAAAATGTAGAATTAAGTTTAGAACCGCCTTCCGTTAATTTCTCAAGTTTCTCTAGTCTTGTTCCTGCCATTTTCCATTCTCTAGTCTCCTCTCCCCCCCTCGGGAAGTGACGATTCTCCATCCTCGAAGCAAGCAAATAAGCACAGACTCACACAGACGACTAGCATAGATAGAGAAAGGTAGAATCCGAACTTGCCGGTTTATGGGCAATGATCTTTGCTTGTTTCCCTTGAAAAAGAAAGGATGAGAGAAACATACAGAAACTAACAGATTCACTGAACAGAAGATTGATAGGATGATAATTAGTTGCATGGCTTCTGAATGTTCTGTATCATTGTCCAACAAGATTAGAACCTCATGTGTTCAATCTTCTCTTATATTATTAAAATATATATACACTGATCTGTTATGCCGGGTTTGGTAGTTTTGAATCATTTGTTATCTCTGTCTGAAGATTTTTATATGTTATATGATCTAATATTTTATGTGAGAATGTTGAATTCTCCTACTCACTCAACAATGACAAAATTCTAATCAACTTCCACTACATTGTGGTCTCTTGTCTAGTGGGGTCTACACACCTTTTGGGTTCTCAACCCTATCCACCATGATTAAATGTTACTCCAGTTATATGTCGTTGTAGAAGAATTGCAACCTATGTTTTGCAGTCTAGCTACCGATTGACCACTTCTTTCCATCAAAGCCTATATTGTGAAGGGAAATCTAAAGAAATGAAAGAAGAGAATGCAAACAGATAATGACATACACAAGAATATTCATGTGGTTCAACATTTTGTACCTACAGATTACATCCATGGAAGATCCCTACAAAATTCACCTTTTACAGTTTGACAATTATACAATCCTAGAGAGCAAGCTAGTATATACAGGGATCATCCAATTAGATTTCTTATTCCTTTTCTTACTAAGCAAAAATCAAGTTATTTCATAAAATTAATTGTATTATTTTACTGTTGTGCTTCAGGTATCAAAAGCTTAAAAGCTTTTCTAAGAGACCCTTGGATAAACTGCAAGCATGCACCAAGAAATGGTTCCATGCCCATGATGAGAAATGGAAGTGGTTCAAGGTGTGCCCATTATTTATTTATTTTTTTTCATTACAAATAACAAACCTTTAAAGGTTAGAATTTTTAATTTTATCTCTCCTATTTTATTGTATAGGGTTGTTTAGGGGCTTTAGATGGAATATATATTAGGGTCCAAGTGTTTGAAAAGGATAAGCCTAGATATTGAATGAAGAATGAAATTGCAACAAATGTATTGGGTGTTTGCTCTCCAGATATGTAGTTCATTTACATATTACCTGGCTGGGAGGGATCTGCTCATGACACTAGAGTCATTTGTGATGCCATTTGAAGGAGAAATGGCTTAAAATTACCACAAGGTAATAATTGAACCACGAGAATTAGGACACTAGAGCAAAAATTCTAATATTAATGTTTAAGAAACTAATATGTATTGTCATACATTTGTTTAGGTCATTATTACTTGTGTGATGCTAGGTTAGGTACCCCAACAGTGAGGGATTCGTAACACCTTATAGGGGTCAAAGATATCACCTATATGAGTGGAGGCAAGGACACCAACCAAGCCCCCCCATATGAGATATTCAACATGAGGCATTGTATAACTAGGAATGTAATTAAGAGGACATTTGGCCTCTTAAAAATAAGGTGGGCAATATTTAGGACCTCGACTTGGTACCCAATAAAGACCCAGTGTAGGATCATTAGTGCATGTTGCCTCTTACACAATTATATAAGGAAAAATATGTCAATTGGTCCCATGGAAGCAAAAATTGAAAATTTTTTAGCCACTAAAGGAGGTTCACACAGTGTAGCAGAGGTTGATGAACAAATCACATGTCTAGAGAGTAGCAGTGAATGGGCTGCATTCAGAGACAACTTGGCAAATCAAACGCGGCAACAATTTAGACATTTAGTAATGCAATTTCTTATTTAGGCTATTGTATCAAATGTACTAGATCTTTATGTGTTGTTCAATCAAACTTGAATTGTTTGTAACAATTGTTCACTTATTTATGTTTGCATTCCTTGTATTCATCTATTAATTGTTATTAGAAATAGATAACATGTGAGTTATTTGTAACAACTGTTTACTTGTTTTCCTATGCCTTCACTGTGTCTATCCATTACTTATTATTATAAATGGTTGGGAAAGATAAGGAGAAGAAACAACCAAATAGGCAAAATAGAGTTTGGACAAAGGCAGAGGATGAAAATTTGGTTGGGGCTTAATGATGTTGGCTCAAACTGGAATGTGGAGAGTAGATAACTGGACATTCTAGGCAGGGTATTTGGTACAATTAGAAAAATACATGGAAGAAAATCTCCCTCGATGTGGATTGAAGGCAACACCTTATATGGAATCTCGGGTGAAGCATATGAAGAGACAATGTGGGCCATATGTGAGATGTTAGGCCCTAATTGTTCAGGATTTGGGTGGGATGACATCAAGAAATGCATTACATGTGAGGAAGAAGTCTTAAACGGGTGGGTTAAAGTAATTGCGGATTATTTTATTTTATATTTTAGACAAATGTATACATCTGTTTTAAATGACATCCAATTTATTAATATATTTTTGCTTTGATAAATGTAGGGCCATCCATATGCCAAAGGATTAAGGAACAAGCATTTTTTATTTCTCGATGAACTTTCTATCATCTTTGGAAGAGACAGAGCCACTAGGGAGCTTGTAGAAATCCCTTCTGATGCTACAGAAGTTGTTGATAAGGAAGAACAATCAAGTTACCGACCCATGGAAAGATGAATCAATTAATGAAGGAGAAGCTCAACAAGTTGTGTTAGAGTTTTTTCAAGAAGATAACATGACTCTACAATTTGCCACACAACCACCATCCACTCAACCTCCAATAGGTACCTCATCAACCTCTTGTCCGCATAGAGCAAGTAAGAGGTCAAGGAGCTACGTGGATGATGACTCATTAGTTAAGGTGATTTTAGAAAATATAGATAGGGTTGAACAACAGTTTGTTGAATACAATGATAGGGTTGAACAACAGTTTGTTGAATACAATGATAGGGTTGAAGAGATAGGGAGATGAGAATGAAAATGTTTGAAGAGATAAGGAAGACCCTTCGTTTAACTTTAGATGAGATGATCAAAGTGAGTTAAAAGTTAACTAGTGACATGGGAGAGGTTGAATACTTTTTTAGCCTACCACTTGACTTTAGAAATGCATACATTTTCTCTTACATCCTCTCTGATTAGTTGATTAGCAACTCAATAGAACAATAGTTATCTTTTGTTTTTTTTTTTGTATTTTGATTATCAGAAAACATGTAGTTACTGAATAGAAAACAAAAACACGTTACCTCTTTTTCTTCTTTTTTTTTTGTTTTAACATAGCAAGTTCAAATTATTGATTTGATAGGATGAACCTCTAGTTTGTTTTAATTCAGATCTTTCTATGATTAGTGGTATTAAGAAAACCTTCAAAAAGGGTAATGTTGGCAATAGTGATTGATTGGGTTCCTTTTGATATGGCATTAACCTATTACACAAGTTTATAAAACAAAACCTTGACAAAAAATATTCATTTAGGCCAATAAGGTAATTTTGGCAATAGTATAATAAATTAATCTCTTACGTAGAAAAGTTGGTAAAATAAAAGAACATAGGTAAATTAGAATGTAAAATTTACCTTAATAAGTTTCAACTAAAAGAATATGGGTAAATAAAATTTCCTGGGTAAAACCCGGATAAGTGAATTTACCGAGGTAAGTATGATAGTGCTAAACGAACGAGGTTAATGTAAGTGTGCAAATAAAACTTCGAGGACTAAACATCACTACCACCAATATAAAGGGTGGTAACATGCAATTTATCCTTATTATTATTTTGAAATTGTCACATGCAACGCACGTGAACAAAAACATGTTTATAATTGCGTGCTCACGGTTAGGGGCGTTCTTGTCGAGACCATCGATTCTATCCGTCCAACCGGTGTTCCTCGTCTCTGTAAGCGTTGTCTCCCGCTAAAGGTGAGTCTCAACTCTCAAACCCTAGAAACCCGAGAGAGGCCTTATCTCTTCATCTTCCGTGCTTATGCTTGGATTTTTGTTTCAGTTTCTTCTCTATCCATGCATATTTGTTTGCTTTTTATATCAGTCAACCCAGGATTCAAGATTTTATCTTTCGTTCTCTTTTAGAGCTTTGTATCTATTTGCTGAATGATATATTACTGGACTAGGGTTTGACATGTATATGGGTTTGTCCTTTTTTCCCCAAATTCTCGATTACTCCTGCAGGGTTTTTGATAACAGGTGCCACGGCAAAATAGATTGCTATTGTTCATCCAAGTTGGAATAATCTGATTTGCCCCGTTGTGTCTCTCTTCTCATTTTGCAAATTTATGATATATTTTTTAGCAAGATTTTAATCCCGTAGGGGGTTCGTTCGATTATTATTGTTATTGTTTTTAAACATAATTTCTATTCGTAATTGTTTATATCTATTTGAGTAATTCTGTAATTAGGCGTTTTATGAGTTATGTAGCTACTTTCGTAGCAACCCATACATATTAAAACATAATTTTGGTCCTCGATACTTTTTGTATGTCGTAATTTTTTTTGGTCATTTTTTGTCATCGGTGTTTGATTATAAATTTATTCATGTTTACTTTAGAATGGTCTCAGGTAGAATGAGTGGTCATTTGAGTAGAACCATTTACGTTGGCAACCTCCCTGGAGATATTCGTGAGAGAGAAATAGAAGATCTTTTTTATAAGGTAAATTTAGATTTATACGGCACCTTTTGGTTCCTACTTATTGATTTATACTATTTTTTTTT